ACTTTAAACATTAGAAAAACCCTGCGCCAGCATTTAACAAGGCATTGTACTCCGTCGGCACTCGGTGCTATAAATTCATACGATGGAGTGTAGAATCTAGAACGAGTTTTTATTTAACGCCATGAATGATTTAGTATAATCATTAAATATTCGAGGGTACATAGCCTTTATGGTTCATTCCCTAGGTTGCGACATTTTTCAGTGTCTTATAAATTGCGGAATTTTTTCAATTTTAGTTCTTACGAAATCAATTTCATTCTCGTATTCCTCATATTCAAGCAAGAGTTCACGCTATTTTTTCGATCAATCAATAGAATTTAAAATTTATCAATCTACACAGAAAAATCTAGAGACTGCGTTCTCCCTGCAGGCAGAATAATTCTAAAGTTTTTATATACCACTAAAATAAATATTTCTCTCATGGATGGCAACTTTCATCTGATAAAAAAAAACTGCGATTGTTAACATTGAATATGAAAAAATATTATCAATTTTTTTAAACGTATGCTCAAAATTTGATTTTTTTTTCAAATACAATATCTTCTTATTTGAAATAAAAATGATTTAAACTGAATAATCAATTCCTGTATTTTGTTTTTCAAATAAAAACATATTCTTTATGAATGCATAAATCAATGTGATGCGACACAGAAAAACGTGCAGAAATGCTGCATTAACATTTCATCATACCCGTCCAAAATATTGCATTCTGTCATGAAAAACGATTCCCCATCCAATCCATTTTCAAATTTACTTTTTTTATAATTTTAATAATCCACAAAAGCCAAAAAAAAGATCAATAAAAAAATTCAAAACATAATAACATCGGTGTTCCTTCAATTAGTTTAAACAATTTCCGTACGCAGTACATGGAAAATGACAAGTGTGACCAGTAGTTGCTGATTTTTTTTCTCATTAATTTCTCTCTTCGATGTATTGAATACTCTCACTATCGATATATCTCAAATATTATTTACGTACCCTGTGAATAAACGGAATTTGAAATGCCGAAATTTTTTAAATTAAAGATGTAGATATCGGATGAGCGCGCATTGCCTATGCCTCAATTAATCGCCGTAACTCAAAAAAAAAAAATATTAAATTCCTCTTAAGCCTATGCCTAAAGTTCCCTCCTCCCATTGGTATTCCTTCTAATTATTATTTCCACTCTACTGAACATTAATTAACTATAACGACTACATGGGGCCATCAGTTTTATGCTAATAAAAAAATATAAAAAAAGAAC